TTTTAAAGACAGGGTCGGGGCTGGAGAGATGGCTCAGTGGTCTAAAGCACCTACTTGGAACAAGCTTAGCAAAGCACAGGGACTGCGGTTCCATCCCCCAGCACCACATGCCAGCCAGCCCTGCCCCCTGGTGGGTTGAGCTGGCCACACACACACACACACACACACACACACACTCTAAATAAATGTTAAAAAAAAAAGAGAGAGATAAAGATTAAAAAAAAAAAGACAGGGTCTTGCTATGTATTCCATGCTCACCTTAAGCTCACTGTGTAGTCCAGGCTCACCTCAAACTTGCAGCAGACCTCCTGCCTGAGCCTCCCGGGTGCTAGGATTACCGGTTTGCAGCACCATACCTGGCCCATGTGTATTTCTAATAGGTACATTACATTTCCAGAAGTGAAATTGCTAGGTCAGATGGTTTTGCCATATTACTTTTTGCAAAAACATTGACTTACATTCTTACCGCTACTGTGTAAAAGTGCTTATCTTGTCATATCCTCACCAACCTGGTGAAGATTTCATGTCATCTTAGTATTTACCATTTTCATAAGAAAAAGTTTTAAAATGCATTTTCATGACTCTGGTAAGGTTAAGTATCTTTAATTTTTCTCATGTCATAAATTTCAGGGAAAAGAATTTTAAATATTAGAATGCCATCCCTATCTATAGTGGGTTAACATTGTATAAATTATTTCCTATTCCTCAATGGAACTTCCTTTTTCTTTCTCTAGAGATGATGTGCTCACTGATGCCCTCTGAGCAGTCTGCTGGTGCCTCTTTCTTACCTAAAAACAATGCTCCATTTTCTTGGAGCTCCTTGGATGAGGATGAATTGGATGATTCCTTGCTCGAGTTCTCTGATGGAGAAGAAGATGACGGCCATTTCAGTCTCACTGAGGAAGAGATCGAGGAGCTTTTGAAAGATGATAGCTCATCAAATGAAGAAGAGATTGAAGAGTTCTTGAAGAATGATGAGCCGTCAAATGAGCATGAGAATGGAGAAAAAAGGAGTGAAATTTTACTTGAAACTCCCCAAGAAAAAAAATCATTATACAGCTTGAGACCAGCAGCTAAGACCCCCGGCCTCTTCAAACTACCTCAACTAAATACATCAGCTGGTCATGAGCCAGTTCCTGCTAAACCATTAAATAGGCACCTTGTATTAGAAAAGAATCATATAAAAGTGACTGTTGTTGCACCATTTGATCCAACAGTTTGTGATACTGTGCTTGATAAGAGTAAGACTGATTCATCCAAAGATACTGAAAAACCTCTTGGGGAAGAGATGACAGAAGATGATCTTAGCCTAAATGAGAGCACTGAATCTGAAGGGATCAGCACTAATATTTCTACCTGGGATGGGACCTCTTCACCTTTGGACAGTAACTTTCAACAAACTATCTCTGATAAAAATACACTTGACAGTAAGAAACCTATACCTTTGACCTCCCAGATCTCATATTCAAAGACTCCTTCCAGTACAGGATCATCCTGGAAAAATAGTGGGTCACATAAACTAAGTTGTGAAATGAGGTCTCCAGTTGTTTCCAGTTCATCAAAGAGAG